CTCCCTGGTTTCTTATACTGCTCAGTCTCAGCAATAAAGGCATAGGCCTAAATGTTTGGGTAATCAGGATAGCTTCCTCAACAGCTGCAGTGTAGGCTGCCTTCCATTGGGATAGATTTCATATAATACCTCTAAAGCTGAATTTCTCTAATTTCAAGGTAGTGCGTACCATATGCCTCATGTTTTTTTGCATGTCAAAGGAACCCTAGAACTCTTAAGATTAGCACAGCACCCTCCCCATCCCCATCCCCATTATTATAGAGATAGAGATTTCTATTATTATAGAAATCTCTATCTCTATAATAATGCAAAGGTTGACATTATTATACAGTCCTAACCCACATTATTGTTCCAAGCCAAAAAGAGAACAGAAACTTCCATTTTTGTGGAGGGTTTTCAAAGACAAAATCTTGGCTTTTGTTGTTGAGAGGTTGCCAATCTATCAGCTGTCTGTAATTGATAAACTCTAAGACTAAACTAACTGGGAGGAATCACTTATCAACAGGCTCTCACAGACTGGGAGCCCTCAGGAGAGGAAGGTGACCCAGGCAATCAGGGGAAGGCTACACCCCCATCACACCTCTGCTGCTGCCACTGCCAGCATGGCAAGCCTTGGCAGGCCCTTCGTGGCTGGGCAGCCATATGGAGAAGGAATTTCATCTATACGTAATGTTTCATTGTTTTTCTTTGACAACATTTTAGACACTTGCCGATGAGATGTACTGGGCTGCTGAGTCTCCTAGAGTTCCCCCTTTTCCCTGTTCACTTTGGGGACAGAATTATGGAAGAAAAATGAGCCAGGAGGCCTGGCTCCATGTGACACTAACAGACTCTTGCCCATCCTATAGTCACGCTTCCACAAGTAACAGTCCAAGAAAAGTACTGAAACTTCCTTCCCAGTGCTTCCGTTCCCTAGAGGAAGAGGGAAAACATTAAGAGCCAGAAATCTAATTTTTCCATAAAAGTGTAATGGTTATCCCAACACCTTTTTTCAATTATCTGATCTCTCACTACATTTTTTTAAAAATTATTTTTAGAGCATTTCAGTTTTACAGAAAAATTAAGCAGAACGTGCAGTTTCCATTTACCCCTTCGCCCTCACCCCCACAGTTTCCCCTATTATTAACATCTTGCATTCGTGTGATACATTTGTTACAACTGATGAGCCAACATTTTGACTTTATTATTAACCATAGTTTACATTAGGGTTCACTCTTTCTGTTGTACATTGTATGAGTTTTAACAAATATGTCATGACTTGTATCAACTGGTACAGCGTCCTACAAAATAGTTTCACTGCCCTAAACTTTGTCTGTGCTCCACCCTTTCACCACAGTTTTGAAATGGTATCTTTATGATATATCAAATATCCACTTGTTTCAAACTTGAATGAGAATGCCTTTCTTGTTTCACCATTAAATTTGATGTTTGCGCCGAAGCCGGTTTGGCTCAGTGGCGGAGCGTCGGTCTGCGGACTGAGGGGTCCCGGGTTCGATTCCGGTCAAGGGCATGTACCTTGGTTGCGGGCGCATCCCCCGTGGGGGGTGTGCGGGAGGCAGCTGGTCGATGTTTCTCTCTCATCGATGTTTCTGGCTCTCTATCTCTCTCTCTTCCTCTCTGTAAAAAATCAATAAAGTATATATTTTTAAAAAAAAATTTGATGTTTGCTATGGAGTTCTGATATTTGACCTTTAGTATGCAGGCACATTACTTTTTTGAACCCTATTTGACTAATACCCTGCTGAGTTCAGTTTGCAAATACTTGACATATCTGTAAGTCAGTCTCTAAAGGAAGAAAAAAAAAGTGCAGCAAGAAAATGTGTCCAAAATAGCAACTGGCAGTTAAAGAAAAAAGAAGACAGCAAGAAAGCAAAAATAAATAGCATAAAAGAAGATGGCATTTATAAGGTAAAACGTAAGTTATCAGTAATAAATATGAGCAATTAAACACTACTTAAAAATATTATGTGCTCGCTTTGGCAGCACATGCATAAAATCGGAACGATACAGAGAAGGTGAGCATGGCCCCTGCACAAGGATGACATGCAAATTTGTGAAGCGTTCCATATTAAAAAACTAAAATTTAAAAATATATATATTATTAGATGGTGAGAACTTCTGACTAAGTCACACAAAAATCTGTGCTGTTTATAAGAGACTATTCAAAAACTGAAATTAATACAAAGATATAACTAATATGAGGGACATAATTAGAGAAATTGCAGGGATTATTTTTCTTGTTTTTATCCAAAAACATGTATTGTTCAACAAGTACTTTTTGTTTCTCTTCATTCCACCCAAGACTTGTTACCTCTCACATTCTCTAATTTTCCTGAGTGTCTTTCTCTTTCAATTTCTTATCTGTGGTTATGCCCCTTCCTCAGATAGCAGGAGGGAACTCTCTCTAGATCAGTCCCATCTCTTATTGAAACCGATCTATTGTAGTACAGTCAAATAAATGTACCATTTGGGTAAAAAAGATCCCTCCCCTTTCACTCCTCCCCCCCCCCCCCATCCACACACACAACATTAATATCCAGCCAAAGATTAATTTTAGATTAAGACTAAATTACTCTAAGATCCCTCTGATTTCCCTAATGTCCTCCAGTGCCTATTGATTCGCTTCACTAAAACTCCCTATTGCTGAGTGTGCCTTGCAAAGGTTTTTTGCTACATTTTCGTATAGCTCTCTACATTTTCTGGAACTTTCCATCAGCAGCCATAGATCCCTCCCCTATCTTATTTGCTGGCTATTCTGTCCATATTCTTTTCCTCCTTCCTTTCCTTCCCTGCTCCCTTTATTTTTCTCTTAAAGAACTTGATCAGCTTGTTTTGGTGGTAACCAAATCATTCGTTTAGTTTTTGGTACCTAGATATTGGTTTTTTTTGTGTGTGGTTTATAGCAAAATTACCTGAAAGTTATGCCTACTCTGAACCTCCTCCCCAAATAAAAGGAAACAACATTTTTAAAATTCAAGGCATTATTAGAATAATAATAGCTTTAACTTTAAGTAATCTGCATATAATTTCTAAGCAGTAGTCTATAGCCTTATAAAAAAATCTTCAAATAAGCCATAAAAGGGAAATTTTGTTCATCCTTTAATCAACTGTTTAGGGCCCATTTCCTATCTCAATCGAAGCATTACCGTCTTATTTGGATTTTTATTCCTGGAGTAATAAAATAGGAAATAGCAGTGATTTATCTATCAGAAGCTAGATTAATAGTTACTGCAAAATGCCATGTCCTCTGAGCTATTTCTGTGAGTGATAGATTTTTTTATTTTTTTTTTAGTCTGAAAATACTATTTCCCTCATTTTCCCAGTTCCTAAGAGTGCTTAGCATATCCCAGGCTGTAAATTTTCTCTGATCCTTACCTATAAGTTATATATTTAATTTCAGTAAGAAATTGAAATTTTATTTTACAGAAAGGACTTTTTTTTTTCTTCTTGAAATTCATCTCTAATGGTTCTAATAAACCTTACTTTTTTCTTTAATATTCAAATTTTCCAACATTTTTAGCACTTAGTCTAAATCCAGCCTTCTTTCAGCAGCCTAGAGTGATGACTGTTTTGGCCTTTGTCAGAAATCACAGTTTAAAAATGACGGATATCCAGCTCCTATCAGAAGCACATTTGAGAGGAGTGCTGTTCAAGGAGAGAGTGCTGCATGGACATTTGGTTCACCCACTCTGAATTCTGAGTTTTTCTGTTTCAATTGAGATCTATGAAGGTTAATGTCTTAGGAAATGCAGTGTGTACTCTGGATTTTATCAAGGATACATCATTTTCAACAGCAGATTGCTATTTTTGAAAAGCATACATTTACACAATGGAATGCTATTCTGTAAAGACAAAGGTTTTTATTTTTTTATTATTTTTTTAAATATATATTTTATTGATTTTTTACAGAGAGGAAGGGAGAGAGATAGAGAGCTAGAAACGTCGATGAGGGAGAAACATCGACCAGCTGCCTCTTGCACACCCCCCACCGGGGATATGTCCGCAACCAACGTACATGACCTTGACCGGAATCGAACCTGGGACCTTTCAGTCCGCAGACCGATGCTCTACCGCTGAGCCAAACCGGTTTCAGCAAAGGTTTTTATTTTTTAATGAGGCATTTGCATTTTCTTTTTTCTTTTTGTTTTTTGTTAATTCTCATCCAATGATACTTTTCCATTGACTTTTTTTAGGGAGAGTGGGAGAGAGAGGGAAACAGAGAGAAACATCTATGTGAGAGAAACACAAACATTGGTTGCCTCCTGTGAGCCCCGACCAGAGCCTGGCCCGAGAGGAGCCTGCAACCCAAGGCACGTGTTCCCGCCCAGAGCCGAACCCGGGACCCTCAGATCCCTAGGCAGATGCTCTATTCACTGAGCCAAACCAGCCAGGGCAAAACAAAGAAAGTTTTAAACCTTTTCAACAGCATGGATGGACCTGGAGAACATTGTGCTAAGTGAAATAAGGCAGTCAGAAAAAGACAAGTACCATATGATTTCACTCATGTGTGGAATTTAATAAACAAACTGAACTACCAAACAGAACAGGGCAGACTCATAGACAAAGATCAAGCAGCCAGCTCTGTTGGAGGGATAAGAAGTGTAAGTGCATAGGAATTAAGCCAGAAAGAAAAGCCATTAAGGGCATTGTCATTATGTCATTTACTGTCCCCATAAAATCTCACTGTGATAAATAGCTTAGAATTTGTCTCAGAAAAAAAAAATTGTCTTCCCTTAAAAAATTAGTTGACTACTTCTTTGCTGATTATAAAGATTTTCCTAACTGTGCCTGATTTTGGTACAGAAAACTCATGATAGCACTCTGTGAGTCCTTCATAAATAGGTCATATTATAAACAAATTCTGTACTAAAAAAAAAAAAAAAACACAAATTTAAATAGGAAATAGAAATGAAGCATTTGACAAGCACCTGTTTAATATGTTTGCTGAACCAGGCTCAATGAGCCCCTTTTGATTTTCTTTCTTTCTCTCTCTCTATTAGAAAACATTGTGTGATGTGATCCTTATGGTCCAGGAAAGAAAAATACCTGCTCATCGTGTTGTCCTTGCAGCAGCCAGTCATTTTTTTAACTTAATGTTCACAAGTAAGTATCTTAAAGTCAAACGTATTATTTATTCTATTAGTAGCAATGCTCATGAATCCATGCGCCACTCCCGCCCCCTTACCCCACCCTCCTGCTGATCCATGGTCCTGTTGTTATGCAGTCGGTCGTTATGCTTCACGGCATAACAACCATTTGCATATTACATTTTTGTTATATAGGATGAGAATGAGATGGGTCTAAATGAAAACATGCTTTTCCCCCCGCCCCCTGGTTTATAAAGAAGTTAAGATCATGAAACAGTGAAGAGATTGAAAAGTGGTCATGGTTATGATTAATCAAAGGAGTCATGTCATTTCATTAGCCCTAAAAGCCCCAGTTCTTTATTAATGGGGATACAGCTTCTACTTAAATGACTACAGTTTTCTTCTTAACCTCTGGTAGAAAGGCAAAGGAACAGATAAACCTTATGACATTTTATCCAGCAAGTTTAAGTTAAATAAAAATGAAATATTACATACCAGTGGCCCGGTGCACGAATTGGTGCACATTGAAAGGAAATATATTTTAATATCGCTATCTGTCCTTTCTCTGTAATAGAAGTGTCAATCAAACTCATCAACAATGACATATTGAAACACACATGTGTGATTGGTGCCAGTAAGAGCTTTATGTGTATCGTACATGTGCGAGTCAACTTAGTCTTTTACATAGATAAAATAAACTTGCTTAATTAGATCTGCTTTCTGATGAAGCTAAACTTTTTCCAGTCCAGTAAAGCACCCCAGCTTCTCTTACAGGTAATTGTCAGCCACACAGCAATAAATATCAACATGAAACATTATTATTGTAGATCACACAGGAGAACAAAGGGTAAAATATTTAACTGCAGCAGTGTTTGACTATATTCTGCACAGTGAGAAAACCTGAAGTCATTTTCAAGGTCCACCATTTCTTACTTCTTTTCAGTTGGGTCAAGTTTCTAAGCTTTCTAAATCTCCATTTTTCCAGCTAATGAAAAGATAATAGTATTCTACCGAGACTCCTATCTACCTACTCCAGGACTTCTGTGAGGATCAAGTGAGATGAGGCATGGGAAAATGCTTCACAGACATTTGATTAAAGTGTAAATGTTTTCACCTGACTATAAAGCAAGTGGGTTCCTGGGCTAAAGCAACTGCAAAAAGGCTAGTTAGTTGCTAGGGAGAGGAAGCCAGGTGTTGCTACATGAGGTCATTACCCAACACCCACAGCAACCATTTCTGGGCTGGCCATGGGGTCTGGGCAGCATTGGCTGTGATTTAGTGGGCTGTCGCTCCAGGGGGGTGGTGGGGCCTGTGTTCCACTTGGGGGAAGCTAAGAGTTGCTTTGACAGCACCAGGTCCATGCTGCGGTTTCTCTGTAAATGGTCAGTGTGCGTCAAAGTGACCAGTCAGGCAGGTGGAAGGACACTTAGCATTTTAGCCTTTTGCATATATACTAGAAAGAATCCTAGACTTGGAGTTGAGAATTGGGTCCACCTTCTTGTACCTCTACTGAGTACTGTTTCATGAGCTTCATTAAGTTATAAAATGTATCTACCTGCCAGGATTTTGGGATGAGGAGAGCTTTGCTAGTTGTAACTGACTATATATATAATGGCCATTGTTCTCATAGGTTTGTTCTAGCAACATCAGAGGCATTTTGCTCATAGCAGTTTAAAAGAGTGCTACTAAATTATTTTAGAAGTTGGAAAAATACTAAGTCCAGTTTTATTTCTCTCTGTTCACTTGCCCCCCCACCCCCGCCCGCTTTTTTTTTTTTTAATTTTTTTAAAGAAGTACACTAATTCTTTAATTTCTTAGATAATTTTAATTTAAGGCATACCTCAAATGTGGAGAATTAATTTGATTTTATTGTAAGAATGTTGGGCTTTCTGGAGTATTTTCCAGAGAAGTCCTGTCCTTTTATTCCTCTCCATATTACATGGCCCGGAATAAGCTGTTTCCGCTGTGGTGGCACTCATGCCATTTGTGTTTCTCTTCTTCATTTTAGCTAACATGCTTGAATCAAAGTCCTTTGAAGTAGAACTTAAAGATGCTGAACCTGACATTATTGAACAGCTTGTGGAATTTGCTTATACTGCTAGGTAAGTTAAGAGGATTATTTCTGTAGTGGAGGGATAAGGTTGGGATCTATCATGGCAAAGCATTTTAGCAAATCAGTGTGTTCCAGATTCTTCAGAATGAAAAGTTTCAAGGATTTGGCCCTGGTGGCGGGGGAGAAGGAGGAGGTGGAGGGAGGGAGTTGACAGAAGGAGGAAGTTGAAGGTCCTCTGCCATACTAATTCAAGGACTGAAACTTTAATTTTTTGCTTAACTTTAGTAACTAGTGGGATGCATTCTACAATAGCATTATTTAAATAAAAAAGGTAGGGAATTAATAGTCACTTTAACTTATTTGCAGAATTTCTGTGAACAGCAACAACGTTCAGTCTTTATTAGATGCAGCAAACCAGTACCAGATTGAACCTGTAAAGAAAATGTGTGTTGATTTTTTGAAAGAACAAGTTGATGCTTCAAATTGTCTTGGTAAGAAATCAGATTCCTATTTAAAAATAAATAAAATTTTTAGTAAAAAAACAAAACAAAAACTGGTTATAAGTATCCTCGTTTAATTTTAAAGACATGTTCACTAGAAATTTTTCTAGTAATACATTTTAAGAAGAGCTTAGAGAAGTACATGTTAACTTGGGCAGCAATGAGCTCATCAAATATTGTATCAGTATTTCCCAAAATATAAATGATTTTTCTTAATGATTTTTTCTTTACCTAGAAACGAGTAAGGATTGCATCTGGTGGTGGTGTGTGATATATGATAACATATACATGAATGTTTACCTGTGTTGAAGTCCTTATGATTACTGTGATCTGTCACAGATAAGGAAACTGAGTTTATGTAACTTACTGAGGTCATATAGCTGGTATGTGAAGGACCTGAGGTTGGAACTCAAGTAATCTATCCTTGACTGCTGTCCCTCCATAGTCAGATCTGCTAACTGTTGTATACTAGAAGCCTTAAAAAATCCTAGACTGTACAGGGAGATACTAATTAAGGGGCTGCTATAGCACTCCATTTCAAAGCCATTAATAAAGTAGTTTCTATTTGATACCAGGAGAAGCAGAGAAAGTTGATCAGAGTTTTCCAGAATGCAGTGTGGTATGCTTTCACTCGCTTATCCACACATGAACGAACATCCAGACCCTTGTAATTACATTTCCCTACTCTTGCTGTGATTCAGAGTAGAAGAGCATCAGAGTAGAAATCTAGGAAAGAAAGTGGAATCAAGGACAGTCGAGAGAGAGGTCTAGGAATCCAGCCAATGCTGAGATTTTTGACCCACAGGAGAAGACGAGGGGTGCCGATGACAAGAAGCCAAGGGTTGCAGGAGATGCTCAAGAAGTTTGGCAAGCCTCCTCTGTCCCCCCTTTTCTAGGCTCCCTCCTCTGAGACAGTTTCATTACTCCACCTGACACCCATCCCCCTCACTGTGAGTGCAGAGATAAAGACCTTAGAAGACAGGTAGAAAGGAAGTGGAATAAATTTTGAGGGATCAAAGCCAGGCAAAGGGGATGGGAATGAGATTGTTTCTGGTATCCAGAAAAGGAACTGAACCAAATGGGATTGGGGGGGGGGGGGGGGGGAGTAGCCATTGGTTTACATAGTGAAAATATTCCTATATTAGGAATAAAAGACCAGCCTTCAACCCCAATAGAGACACTCTTGGATGAGCCCTTTTATCTCTTGGGCCATAAATTGTGGCTCCATATAGCAATAAGATTTATATTCCTGAGATTTATTTTCCCTTATGAAAATAAATTTGCGCCGGGACTGGTTTGGCTCAGTGGATAGAGCATCGGCCTGCGGACTGAAAGGTCCCGGGTTCAATTCCGATCAAGGGCATGTACCTTGGTTGCAGGCACATCTCCAGTAGGGGATGTGCAAGAGGCAGCTGATCAATGATTCTCTCTCATCGATGTTTCTAGCTCTCTATCCCTTCTCTCTTCCTCTCTGTGAAAAATCAATAAAATATATTTTTTTTAAAAAAGAAAATAAATTCGCTCAAAATGTATTATTAAAAAAAGATTTTTAAAGAGGATTTGGAAGATGATGTCTCAAACTGTGTTTCCCTAACTCACTAAATTTCTTACTGGGGTGATTCACCTATAATATAGGGAGTGGATGTGGCAGTGCAAAGCATAGTGTGGAACTGAAGCAAGTTAGTGCTAACCACATCTTAAGCTTTAGGCTCCTGAGGAGACCATGTAGGAGTTTGACCTCTGGATGCCTTCTGTCAACAGTTGATTACATAGCTGGGAGGAAGGGCAGCCTAGCAGCCTAGAAGGGAGCCTGATAATCTGGCTAAGCCTGGGGCAAAGACAGTGGCCCTCCCAGATGAGCCAAGTGCAGCTACTCAGTACCCCAGCGAAGTACTTCAGCCTGTTTTCTTTTTAGCCCTGAGCATATCTCCCCCTGAGAGCTGATTGGAGAACCCCTGTCTTATTTTTCATCAGTTGTCAATTTCTGCTACCCAGAAGATCCCAACAATCTGACTTCTGTGAGTGCTAAGGGGATCAATGACAGCTGATGGAATTAGGCAACGGGCATATGTACAAAGTTAAAAGAAACCTAGTCGTTTGAGGGGCAGGAACTCAAGATAAACAGCCAAAATGAATGGCTCCTATAGCCATTTAACATAAGAAATGGAAGAGAATTTAAAATAGAAAGGATGCATTGGAGGGGGGGGGTATGAAATTTCTTTGAATTTAAAAAATAGAATAGAATACCTAAAAAAAAAAAAAAAAAGTAAATAAATACATAAATATCAAACAGGAAATTGCCTCATGATACAAAAGAAAAATGCAAAGAAATGGAAACTTTTATTGAAAAGATAAATGACAAGAAAAGAAGATATAGGGACATAAATTTGAAGTAGGAATTTCAGAAGGAACAGGTGGAGAAAAAGCAGTAAATTAATGAGAGCCTGAGTATGTTTTCTAGATTTTATCAATTTCCTTGGTCATGCCTATTTTGAGCTTTTTTCAAATCTGTCTTAAACCTTAAGATTACTTTTCAGCCCTAGTCGGTTTGGATAGGGCATTGGCCTGAAGACTGAAGGGTCCCAATTCCAGTCAAGGGCACATGCCCTGGTTGCAGGCTCAATCCCTAGTAGGGGGCTTGCAGGAGGCAGCCAACTGATGATTCTCTCTCATCATTGATGTTTCTCTCTCTCCCTCTCCCTTCCTCTCTGAAATCAATAAAAATATATTTAAGAAAAAAAATTACTTTTCATAGAAACAACTACTTTTCACATTCATATTTTATTAATTTGTATGGTATTTAAATAAATTGCATAATTGCAACACACTCAACTATCAAAAACTAGTCAATAAACAAATACTGGTTCTTGGTGAAAATAACATCTTGATGGGAGCCTAAGTGTACAGTTATCTCCGACTGTTCAACATGAAAATCCCATGTGTGGTATCAGTCAGTACATTTATAATGTGACAGGTTTATTAGCAGGCATCAGTTATTAAAACCTTTAGGGTATAAATATTAAAGCTTCAAAACTCATTATCTGAAGACAACATGAAGTTGAAACATGGAAAATCACGATAATGAACTGAAAATTTGATATCATGACTTTGAAGGGAGCTCACATACAATAACCAATGGTTTTATATAGGAGAGAGATTGGCAAACTTTTTCTGTAAAGAGAGAGATAGTATGTGGCCCTTCTTACTCCTCCTTGTCCTCCTCCTTCTCCCACTTCCTTCCCTTCTCCTCTTTCTCCCTCACCTTCCCCTCCTTCCCTGTCATTCATACACACACACACGCACACACGCACACACACACACAATGCTTCAAAAACATTTAAAAAATATTCTTAGCTGCTGACTCTACAGTGGAATGTGGCTAAATTTAGCCAATTGACAGTAAGGACTTTGTAGAGTCCTGATAATGTAACATTAATAATCAATTAATAATTTCCCAAACAAAAAATAAATTGCTAGGAAAAGGCTGAATGGAAAATATAGGGTTTCTGTGAAAAAAATTATATAATTACATTGATAATCAAAAATCTGAATAAATGAGCTATGTCATGTTCCTAAGTGGAGCTCTTCCTGATTGCAGAGCAGTCACTGTCCTCAAAGTAATTTAAAAATTAAGCCCAAAGCTTAAGATGTGGTTAGCACTAACTTGCTTCAGGTTCCACACTGTGCTTTGCACTTCCCAGTTAAAATTATATCAGGATTTTTAAAGTAGGATGTGATAAGCTTATTTTAAAATTAATATGCAAGAGAAAATGTTTAACCTAGCCAAGAAAAGTTTTTAAAAATGTTGAAGGGGGTTTGTCCTACAAAATATCAAAATCAATAAGATGGCATAAAATAGACAAATCAATGGAAGAAAAAATAACCCGGGTTTATGAAATTCATGCAGACTTCTTGGAGTCAGATTTTATCTTCAGTGTAGGTTTAGGCTTTTTAAAGGTGATTTTCTATTCGTTTTCTTTCTGTGTTTAGGTATAAGTGTGCTAGCAGAGTGTCTAGACTGTCCGGAATTGAAAGCAACGGCAGATGACTTTATTCATCAGCATTTTACTGAAGTTTACAAAACTGATGAATTTCTACAACTTGATGTCAAGCGAGTTACACATCTCCTCAACCAGGACACTCTCACTGTGAGAGCAGAGGATCAGGTAACTAAACTGCCTTCTCACGTTTATCTTAGTAAGAATGTATAAAATCTTAGGCTTCGTGTTGGGATACATGACAAGAAGAAGAATCAATTAGAAAATAATGTATTTTTCATATTAGAGTATCCCAAAGTCTGTTTCATAGGAAAAGTTAGGCCACTTGGTAGAGATAAAGCTATTCGGGACCATGGTAGGCAGAACAGTGCCTCCCCCCAAAAATGTCTATATCCTAATCCTTGGAATCTATGAATAGGTTGCCTTACATAGCAAATGGATCTTTAGAAATGTGGCATGAAAACAATCATCCTTAAATGCGGAAAAGGAAAACAGAGGGTCAGTGTCTGAGTGATGTGATGTGAAAAAGACTTAGCTGGCCATTGCTGACTTTGGAGATGGGAAGAAGGGGCTGCAAGCCAAGAAATGTAAGCGGTTGCTAGATGCTGGCAAAGATGGGGAAATGCTCTCTCCTGGATAAAGCATTGGATAAAAACTTAAGGAATTGTCTAAAAGTACAAAGTTCAGTTAATAATTATGTATCAATGGTGGTTCATTAGTTGTAATGAAAGTATCATACTAGCCGAAACCGATACTAGCTGAAACCGGTTTGGCTCAGTGGATAGAGCATTGGCCTGCGGTCTGAAGGGTCACAGGTTTGATTCCGGTCAAGGGCACGTACCTTGGTTGCGGGCACATCTCCGGTACGGGGTGTGCAGAAGGCAGCTGGTCGATATTTCTCTCTCATCGACGTTTCTAGCTCTCTGTCTCTCTCCCTTTCTCTCTGTAAAATATTAATAAAATATTTTTAAAAATCAATAAAATACATTTTTTTTAAAGTATCATACTAATGTAGCATTTTAACAACTGGGTGCAGGGTCATTGGGAACTCTGAACTATCTTTATAACTTTTCTATAATCTAAAACTATTTTTAAAAAAAAGTTTATTTAAAAAAATAGACCAATTCCCATAAAAAATGAACTCATAGGGAGATTAGTTCTTAGGCTTTGTTGTGTTTTTTGTTTGTTTGTTTTATTTTTAAATATATTTTATTGATTTTTTACAGAGAGAAAGGGAGAGAGATAGAGACTTAGAAACATCGATGGGAGTCATCGATCAGCTGCCTCTTGCACGCCCCCTACTGGGGATGTGCCCACAACCAAAGTACATGCCCTTGACCGGAATCGAACCTGGGACCTTTCAGTCCGCAGGCCGACACTATCCACTGAGCCAAACCGGTTTCGGCTATAGCTTAGGCTTTGTTAATGCCAACCCAAAATTAACAACTTTATGTAGCTCAGTGTTTATATGGTAGATGTGAAGGTATATAAAATAATGTTTGTTTTCAGTGTGTTTAAACTGTGATTTGTTAACCAAGTTATATTAATAAATTTGGACTTGTTTGATATAGTATAATGAATGCCATACTATTATTTTAGAAAATAATTCTTATATAAAAATTTTGTAATTTACTTTTTAAATATAAAATTTGTATATAATAAAGTTTTTGGAAAGCAGGTAAGTCTATCATTTCACAATTTAAGAATATTAGATTAGCGTAGGGGAGCATAGTGCTCAGCCCTGTGATGTACAGTCCCTTTCCACAACATTGGAGAGAAAGCCAGACCCCTATCTCCTTCCAAAAAGGAAATGTAATTTGTTTTGAAAAGTCACAAATTCAACATTTTCCCTGTCATTACATTATGTAGTATTAATTCTAAAAAACATGTTACCTAAAGAATCACTAGAACAATGTGTAAACTGTTCTAAAATATAGGCTTTGTTTTATCTGGGTATAAAAGCAAATATTTGAATAAAATATTGGGAATAGTGATTATGAGATTCTTCCCCTTCGATGTGAGTATAAACCTAGGTAACTGTAAATGTTCCTGCCCATCTAAGAACATCACTATGCTGTTTTTCCTCCCTTAGGTTTATGATGCTGCGGTCAGGTGGTTGAAATACGATGAACCTAATCGCCAGCCATTTATGGTTGATATCCTTGCTAAAGTCAGGTTTCCTCTCATATCAAAGAATTTCTTAAGTAAAACAGTACAAGCCGAACCACTTATTCAAGACAATCCTGAATGCCTCAAGATGGTGATAAGTAAGTTGCTTTACTCCATTTACAGCCTGATTGTGTAACAGTTTTTCATGGGCTTTAAAGACTCTTTAGAACAGTGGTTCTCAACCATTTTAATCCCACGACCCTTTAATACATTTCCTCATGTTATGGTGACCCCAACCATAAAATTATTTTTGTTGCTACTTCATAACTGTAATTTTGCTACTGTTATGAAATCATAATGTAAATATCTGTGTTTTCCCATGGTCTTAGGTGACCCTGCTAGCTGTTTTCAACCTGTAGGTCGGGACTGTAGAGCCTAAGACCATCGGAAAACACAGATATTTTCATTACAATTCATTAACAATAGCAAAATTAGTTATTAGGTTTTCGGCTCTCAAAAGAAATTTCAATCATTGTACTGTTGATATTTGGCTCTGTTGACTAATGAGTTTGCTGACCGCTGGTCTATGGTGTGGCCCTAGCTTGCTTTCATAGATTTTCTAGGTGATTTCTAATATATGTTTAAGATGGGTAACTGCTGGGTTAGGAGATCTGAATTTCAATAATTAATATTTTGGCAGGCTATTGCTTGAAAAGCCAGATAATTCACTGGTACGTAATAGTGGGTGGGGCAATCAGCATAATGGTAATTGCTGAGAACAATAAATTGGTTAGGACTCAGATCCTAACATATTTCTCCTGTCTCTTCCCCCTCATAGAGGGCTGATAGAAAAAAAAACAGTTTCACAAATAAAAGCACTGTTATGTTTGGGTGAATTTCCCCCAAAGCATTAAAGTGCCTGAAGTTATTAAAGAGTTGCCATGTATTTTTCCACAGGTGGAATGAGGTATCATCTCCTGTCTCCAGAGGATCGAGAAGAACTGGTAGATGGCACAAGGCCCAGAAGAAAGAAACATGACTACCGCATAGCGCTGTTTGGAGGCTCTCAACCACAGTCTTGTAGATACTTCAACCCAAAGGTAACTGATTTTTCCTTTTCTTTCGGAAAGTTTTGAGCAAGTGGGCACTCACCTACTACCAGTAGTGATAACTCGTGCTTGTATGATGTGCCTTTACATACCTTATGGGAAACATAGCTCTCATCTTCTTTTTGTACATTGGGAAATTGAGGCTTAGTCAGGTGTCAAAGGTTTCCATAATTGCTCTGGAGTGTGGCACACTGACCACCGTCAGAGGAAATGGAGTACTAGTTCTCTTACCTCCTCCTGTTAGCAACTCCTTGCTTTTGTTACAGTTCCTTTTCTTACGTGCCATTTTCAGTGAATATTTGCTTCTGGAGCACATGTATTGTTTTTGTTTTGTTTTTGTTCAGTAATTATGTTTAATATAAAATAATATACAGTTATTTTAGAAAATTTGGAAAACCTAGAAAATCGCAAAGAGAAAAGATAAAATTACCTTTAATGCAGCCATCTGGAAAGGATCACTAATTTTCATGTATTTTCCAGTACATGCTGTGCCAGTTGGGCCAGCAGAGCCTGAGTCATAGATGTATGGACACGATTTTAAAAATGGATCTTTAATTATAACCTTACTGGAGTCCACTCACATTTCTATCCCTTGTGTCTTGGACCTGAGTTTTTGGCTGTGTGGGAGATAAAACAATATTTTGCTGATCCTGTGATACAGTCAGTATTGACTGGGACACAGAAAATGCCAGTCCTAAAAGATAGCACCCCATCCTGGCAAGTCTGTAATTGGTGTTGAGTCTAAGCACGTAAGGGTCTCTTTCATCATTTTGTAAGCCTATTTTTTGTTGATGAGAGGTACTTGAAGAGTCCAGAACATCCTGTTGACATCAGGATACTTACCTGATCTTTCTCACTGAAGTGGGTGCTTGGAGGCATTGTGTGTAATACTGTCGTGGTGATGTACGAGGCATTTATCAAAACACTTGGTGGTGGTGGTTGTGGTGGTGGTAGTGGTAAGAGTGCAAAAGACTACAAAAGCCAATCCAAATCCAGAGTAAGTATCAGTTCCAATAAGGAGCAGGCATTGTCCCTTCAACCATGGAAAGGTCCCAGTATAGTTAGCCTGGGATTAAGTAACTAACTGGTTCCCTCAAGGTATGGTATTCAAATGAAGGGCTTACTATTGGCCAATAATATTGACAGAGTGGGTCCTGGCCAGTAGAGGATAGTCACGTGGTGGAGGGAGTTCTTTAGCTTCTGTAGCCACTGGCTGATGCAAGCCTCTGTCATTGCCACTGCGGTCACTCTTAAGGCCATTGAGCAAGTATCAGATTGGGGTCCGGGGGGAGAGATACAGATGCAGCCCTGTCCACATGATGATTAAGAGGTTTTTGCTGCAATTGTGGGCACTCTGGATAGAATTTATATTGGACACAAATTTGTATCCTTTCCGGACAGCCATCTGCTTTATCTTTCCTCAGTTCTCCTTGTCAGCAATCTTCCATTCTTGCTTATTCCAAATCTGTACCCATTTGGGTAAATCATTCACCACTGCCTAAGAATTGATAAAAAACTGACCAAAGGTTTCCATCCTGAAAGGTATAATGGACAGTAAAAGGAACTGCTTGAAATTTAGCCAAATCAGAATATGGTCCTTCAGTACCTCCCCTGCAGGGACTGTGATGCTTTAGCAGTCCTCTTTGGGCCAGTTCTGTCACAAATGGACCAAGCTCAGATTTCTCAAATTTATCAGCTGATTTTAGGGACTGCCTCCATGAAGACATAATCCTGGTTAAGAGAAAAAGCCTTCTGGGTAAGGGTTGTAATTAGCTGTTCAGGTATTCTGTGCCTTTGAGACCTCCATAAGCCCAGTCGTATGTTTACATATCAGATTATTGGTTAATCGTATGCTGTTTGTGATTTGGCAGATCAGATAAACTCCGAAAAGGATTAATGATATGATCACCTGGATTCCCTTAGAGTTAGGCATTTGCTGTGTATTAGAACTAGTGGCCAGCCATTAGATGTTTACTGAGAAAATGATACCTGCTTAGCACTGGCTGATGTGGCTCAGCTGGTTGGGCATTGTCCCACCAAGAGGTTTGATTCCCAGTCAGGTTCATACCCAGGTTGTGGGCTCGATCCCCAGCAAGAGGTAGCCCATCCATGTTTCTCTCTCCCTTTCTCTCTAAAATCAATAAAAACTTTTTTTTCAAATGGTACCTGCTTAAAGTAGGTTGGCTTGCTTCAGAATCCCAGTGGCATGCTCTGTGATCAGATTGGGACATGCTTCAAGCCATAAGCAGCACCCTGATGCCCCAGGATCACAGTGTAACCTGAGCGGCTGAGCTGTGCTACTGTAGCCTGTCTCACAGAGCCTTCTCCTGCTCTGACTTTTTCTTGCAGTTGGCAGCTTTTGTGTTTACCCAGTAAAAGTATAAAAGTAGGACACCCAAATCCAGGACATGTGTCATCTGTAATATGTAGGAGATTCTTGGGGCAACAAACTACTCTTCATTTCCACAGAGATCCTCAAGGCCAGGCCTCCTTTCCTTGCCAGTCGAAAAGAAATTCCATCTAATGGTCTGGGTAGACAGTAACAGAAATGTTCATTAGCCAGAGTGTTAGCTATGTGCCAAGTTTTAGTGGTTGTTTCAATCTGGTCCAGTAAGGCCACATCTGGCCTGGCTGCAACAGAGCCACCCTTCCCGGCAGTTCCTCCTCTGGTTTGGTAGAGAAGACCAGCAACAGCTTCTCCTTCTTATTATAATATACTTAACATCATAATGCGTAGAGTAAATATGCCGACCAACATCAAAAAGACCACTTCAAGGAAGGAGGTTCAGGTTGGCAATACAATCTAATGAGCACAATGTCAGTGTACTTAAAAGATTGTTACACCTGCACATCTGTTTCATATCAGCTAAGGTTAAGATTATTGACACTTCAGTGGCTACTTAATTTCAGTGTTTTTAAATTTTTCAGGATCTTTTTGAGTCAAGAGCAGGACATTTATAAACTCTTTTTTCCAAACAAAAACTGAAATCATAGGAGTTTTGGTTGTAATTCTATAACCACAGCTTTCAGTTGTTGATAATAGTTTTATACCCACGAAGTTCCCAAAGCCTAACCATAATGTTGGATCTGATAGTTAAAAAGACTTAAACATGTTTTGGTGGGAATATTTTATCTTAGCATAAAGTAGATAGCTATTTTGATGTACAGAGGGGCAAGGAGAATCCTGATTTCATTTAGGAGACAGTGAGCATTGTTTCTAGAATAAGACAAATATGGAATGATTCTTAGCACTTTGTATTTTTGGTCTGTAGTTCTAATACTTTCCTTGATTTTTTTTTAATTGAACAGTTGAAAAGAGATAAATATTCTGCACCAGCCTGGAGATGAGAATGTAATTTCAGAATTCTCACTTGATGTCTTACCTTACTCCTATAAATAGCCCCTACTTACGGCTATTTTGTATATTCAACCAAAAATGTTTAGACTCCTGGTGGAAAATTTAAAATAATTGAGGTAATAACTACCAATAAAAACATCCTCTTTTTATCAATTCTCTCTTATTCCCTGGTGCTAACACCATTAGAATCTCATTACATTATGTATTAAATGTTTCTGTTAGAAGTACCAACCCATTCCTTATTTTTGCTATAAAACTTCGTCTTGAAAAATTTGCACTATTTACCATTATTTGTAACTGTTTAATATTAGTTGATTAGTCTTTAAAACAATTGGGTAGGCCGATTTCATTATAAATTATTATTTACCTTAAATTTCCCAAAGTGAACATAGTATTTCATTATTCTAGTAGACTGCTTAATAAAATATACTCTATAGGAATTTTTTATTTTAAAATTCTTGAAGTTACTATTTTCACAAATGTTAAAATGGTGTTCACTATCATTAAAGGGGACCCATTTTTGTGTGTTCTCTACCAGCCAAAAATGATCATTTTTTTTAACTCCTTCAAAGGGGACAATTTAAGCATTGTTACTTAAATTGGATTTTCTAAAATTAAGCCAATGTCTCTGTAAACTGTTCTCTTTAGATATTCTTTGGATGTCACTGATGAGAGGAGGCAGATATTTGTATTAAGTGCAAATACTTACATTAATTGCTGAATGAAAAATGACAAGAAAGAAAATCTTAATATTTTTTCTGAGAACTGACAGAAAAGGAAATCTTGGGCTGCTGTATTGACTTGAAATGACTTGAAATTGACTTGAAATGAAATGATGTTGTCCAACTATAAAGCCCTTCCCTACCTGTACCTTTTTTTTGTTTAAGTGTTCAAGTGCTTAGTGATTACTGAAAGAGTTATTTAGCTATAAACAGTACTCTACTCTCTGAGTATTGGTGTTCTCAAATAGTAGCATGGGAATGTCTTATGATCTAGATGCCTAAATAAAAGTTGATTTAATTGACCAGTTTTGATTTGGACTCTTCTTGTCAATGAAATGATGCATTCTGAGAACTTAGAAGTTTGTAAGGGTCTCGGCTCACCACTTATATATGGTAGAGAAATAAGAGAATGGGTATTAGAGAAAAGGGGATTCTGCATATTTCCTGTCAAAAACAAAGAAGGAGTAAATCCACAGGTGAGAGCCAGATCCTGTAAATGATAAAGACAGAAAACCGTGGGAAGCCGCGTTACATGGAGCCATCAGGTCCAGTGGGTTTACCCTGAGTACATTTTGTTTTTCTTTTTTTAAAAAAGTACCATTATTGTTTTTTATTTGTTTGTGGGGTGTTTTTGTTGTTGTTTTTAATTGATTTTAGAGAGAGAGGAAGGGAAAGGAATAGAGAGATGGAAACATTGACGCTCAACCACAGAACCACACCACTGAGCTACCCTGAGTACATTTTCTTGCTCAGAACTCTGAAGTAGATTCATCACTGAGATCAGTGTCTGGCCTAATATGGGTGTAGACACACCTTGTTTTTATTGTGCTTTGCTTCATTGCGTCTCACAGATGTTGCATTTTTTTTTCAAATTGTCGACTACACTGTCCACCAGCAAAAATATTACAAAT